ATGTCTCTCTCTTGATGCTCTATGATCTTCGAGTGAAGTGATTCAGTGATTCGGGAATGTTTGTGCTTGATCAATCTCATAATTTGAAGCTTGATACGCCATTTGTCTTTAGGGAATATTTGCATGTGCTTTTTTGTCTCTTTTTCTTTTTGATTTTTGTTCTTTCTATTTTGTTTCCTTCTTTTTTGCTTCTTTTCTTTTTTTGATTTTTGCCCTATTTGTTCTGATTGAATCTTCGCACTTGGCATTTAGTTCACCTTTTGGTATCTTATCTGAATCAATGTCTTCGCTCATGTGAGCATATTTCTTCCACCTTGCCCCCCAGTGTGGAGGGTGATCCTTGGTTAGGGTTGAATCAGAAGAAAAATACTATAGGCTCAAAAGGGGACACAAGGGATATATTTTTCTCTTGTTGTGAAGGGATAAAGAAAAAAAACCGCTCATCATCTCATACATGTAAGTCTTCACAGAAGAGGTATCCCCAGGGGGATAGATTTTCAGGATTAATTTTATTCATATGAAAACAGTGTAATTAATGCGTGACAGAATTATTTCGAATGATTTTTTTGCTCCCCTGATGTCTCAATGTTCAGGCTATCTGTGAAATGCCCCAATTTAGAAGAATGCTCCTGTTTAAATGAACAACTCAATGCCTTGGGTATTAAAATGTCAATTTTGAGTCTAATGGTGTGACTTTATTTGACTCAAAGAAAGGTATGGGTGTATCAAAAAGATAAAGACAATGTTCAAGAATTTCAAAGGGAAGTTATGTCAAAATTTGGTCTTTTTGGTAATGATCAAGGTATTTCATTTTGGGGTTTGAGACATGATAAGAAAGGTCTAATCTTGTCATATGTCAAAAATCTATAATTCTTGAAGAGTTAAAAGAATCCTTAATTCATTTAATATTCGAAGAACTAAAGATTAAAATTTGTTCAATTGCTCCACCTTAGAAAGTAGCATAAATTCAATCGTTTAAAAGATTAAGCAAACATGAAATATCAGTGACGTGTTCAAACAAAACAATCCTCTAAGTGCAAATGGTATATGCCATGCCCCCTTCTTCGGCTGTCAATGCCCCTGAATCCATCAGGTTTTGGATCTTGCGCTTCAGCGCCTTATAGTTCTCAGAGGAATGTTTGGAGCATCCTATGTGGCAACTACAAATAGCTTCAACATTGTAGCCCTTAGGATATGTGGACTTTTTTCTCAGATCATCTTGGCAGGTTTAGTCGTACAACCAGCTGATTGGGCTCATTCGTTGTGATAGTTTTTTTATGATGTTACAATCTTGCTTCCATGTGGTGTCATGTAGTTAAAACCACTTCATCGAATTCTCCATGAAGAGATTTCATGTTTATGAAAATACTTAAAAAATGAAATGTATATGCAAAATGCAAAATGTAAAATGCAAAAATGCATGAAATATTCGAGGCATTGATCCAAAAGCATGTATGTTATTGTAAATAACCTTTATTGGGACCAAAGTGTTTTATCTTTTAAGAGATAATAAACATATTTAAAGGTACATTCGGACTAAATCCTCTAGACCCGGAACAGGTTGACTAGTCATTTGCCTTCGTCTTTCACCGGTTGAATAACCTGTCGAACCGCTCCGGCCTCTCTGGATGAACCGTGAAAATGTTGAGTTTTTTTTTTGTATTGGTTCCCAAAAAGTGTCGAATGACTTCATCTTTGGCTTTCATCCTTTGCTGAATCGAAAATTCCATTGAAATCCTCCATCAAAAGGATTATTCGAAGTTCATTTGCTTGTTTCTTGAATTTTGTCGACAGTGACTTGCCATCTTGTTCTTGTTGTCTTTGAATGGACTCTCGAGGTCAGTAACCTTTTTCTCGTCTTGCCCCTGCCACCTTTGTCAACCCATTTTTGAAAAGTTAACTTTTGATGTACTTGATTGTGGGCACCATGAATGTGACACATAGTTGTCTTGCAAATTGTCCTCATTTTCTTTCTGAGCCTTTTCGGACTATAGCCGGACCCATGCGTTCTTATCTCTTGTATTACAACCCCTTTGTCCATTAATGCAGATTATTCATGTTTTAACAAACAAGTTTTTGGTGGATCAACATCTCTTTTAAATGATGCAAATAATGAAAACAAAATAAAAGAGAACAAAAGTAAAATAGAGTTAGTGAGATAAATCAAAACAATAATAAAAACGAAAAATCCTACCCTACATGATATCTACCCCGCATGCGTTAATTCCTACCCGGACATGATCTCTATCCCGCATGCTAATTTCACACAAATCCTAACCGCATATTTGTCTAGTTCGCATGCTTTGAACAGAAAGTAAAGCAGGAAATAATTCCGGCATCCTAGGGTTTGAAATGAGGTTTTGAGGTAGGCTCTAACTCCTTGTAGTCTCCAGAGTTAGGTTCTAAAAAAAAACGGTACCCGAGTTCTCCTTGCTGGTGCCTCCTTAGGCTTACCAGACCCTTAGTCCTAAACCCATCACAGGCTTGTGTGGACTAAGTTAAACTCGAGAGGAAACATTCCCTTATGCCCATACGGAGAATAAATTCACACGAAGACATAAGGTATATGAATCCCGAAGGCTACTTGCTAGGCCCGCACGGTGAATAAATTCACACGAAGGCGTCGCTTTTACCCCCACTTAAATAGGGTTCGGAGCTCGGGTATAGAGCCTTAGATAAAAAAGACTTTAAATGCTGAAATCATTGAGAAAACGGTTAGTACAACTATTTATTTGAAAAATAATCAAAGATAAATAATTGGAATCGAATAAATAAATTTAAATTTAAATTTACCGTTTTCGCATAAAAGACAACCGAAAATTAATTTCGGCCTGACTCACTTACATGTCCCCAGCGGAGTCGCCAAGCTGTCGCAACCGTCTTTCGGTTGGGCCCCGGAATTGGGCTTCGACTTGAAAAATGTGGATTGGAGTCGCCACCGATCACTTTAACACGTTATTTAGGTAGATCGGACACCATCTTACCTGATCTGCGTTTTACCAAAAATATGTCGAGTTCGGGAGTCGGTTATGGTCAAGGAAGGATTAGCACCCTTGAACCGCCCTTTCGGTACCAATTAATTTTTCGGTTGTCTTTAATTGCGAAAAATTAGAAATTTAAATTTAAATTTAAAAACTGATTCGGTTACTTACATTTGATCGACTGAAATTACTACTGAAAGTAAAAGTAAATAAATATTTAAAAAAAAGGAAAAAAAGTTTTTTTAAAAAAAGGGCTTAAAAACAAATACATAAGATCATGATAACAAAAGAATAATAAAAAAAAATAAAAATAAAGGTATGAACACATTAACCACATGCAACTGACTAATTGAAAATTATCAGCTTATGACATAATACATGCACGCATATATATATATATACAAGCTACAAAGTGAACCTACAGATGATACAAAGTGAACCCACAAAGTCAAACAAATTATATCATTTTGTCAAGCAAGTTGATGTCTAGATTAAAGAAATAATAAATTATAATGAGGAAAACCAAAATTATGGGTTTCAGATTAAATACTATAACTAAAATGAAACAGTAGCGAAATTACAAAGAATATATTAAATTAAATACATACAAAAAGAGAAATAAATCGCAACACAGTGACATGCAAAGTTTGAGTAAATAAATATCAACAGTAAAATAGCTTAGTTATACATTTAAAAGGAGACATGGATCAAAACGCATACAACTAAAGCCATATGGAACGTTCGAAATAATATAAATATAATGGACTTAACTTGTGAACCTTCCACAAGAACAAATAACAACGAATGGTGGCCAAAACAAGAGAAATAGAAAACTTAAAGGCCAAATTAAAAAACTAAATAATGCAAAAAGGGTTTAAGGACCAAAATAAATTGTGGGAAAAAGTCGAAGGATCGAGGAAAGACATGTACCATATCCTAGAAGAAGGCGCAGGTTTATGGGCTCACCAGGTTGCTTTAATGAGTTAATTTTTAAAACACTTCATTTGCTCACACTCTTAAAAATAATGAATCAAAACCCCAAACTTATTTTTCTTTGTTTCGTTCATCAATTGTCTTTGGTGTTCTTGACGAGCCCAGAAACCAACGACCTCTCCACTGCCGCTCTGCCGTTACTCCGTCGCGCCTGCAACCGTCGTCGGTCTCGGAAGAAGAAAATCAACACTCTTTTTGACTTCTTTTCTCCCCCCAACCCAGATCCGAACTCAAAACCTCCTAAAAATTACGAAATCTTTACAGATCTGAAGAAAAAGAAATTTGTATTTCTCCAAACATTCGTCGGTGGCGTTACAACTTCAGGGAAATCCCTTTCTAAAGAGTACCTCTGTTCTCCTCCCTCTTTTGCTGGGTTTACAAGCTTATTATTTATAATACAAATAAACCCTATTTTTAGCCTTGTTTGAGTCCTAATCGAACTCTACTTGTGTTGGTTGTTGGTGATGAGCGTCGGACGCTTCGGAGCTGTTGGAGGCGAGAGACGTGCGCCGTGAAACTTGGAGATGAGGACCCGTGAGGCTTGGAGATGCGGCGGTGGCTTGGATGAGATGAGATTAGGGTCTCTAGAAACCCTAATCTGATGTGGGTCATGGGTTGTTGGGCCTTGTTTGGGCCACTGGTTCTTGACCTGAAACGTGTAACAAAATAATAAATAATATATAATATATGTTTAATATAATGTATTGTAAAGGCACGGCATATGGGACGAAATAGTGTGTCTACAGAATCAATCTAAACAAAACTTTAACCTGAAATTCTAAAACGATAGCAAATATCGAATGGGACCCAAGGAGGCTATAAATATTAGATTATTTATGCTTAAGTTTAAAATTCGAATCATGTTACGAATATAAAAATTGACTTAAAAAAATCTTCTATAACAAAATTTTGTAAAATTCAACTTGAATTTACCGATCAATAAATTATATATTAATAATTAATTAAAAGAAAACCCATTATTTTAAATCCTACGATCATCCGCACTGTATCCTTCCGCACCCTATCGTTGACTCGTCAATAATTTGCGCTTGATTGAAAAACAAAGGCAGGTGGTCGCTTTCTTCTCCCCCCCCCCCCCCACTCCCATGGCTCTTCTTCTTTTTCTCATGTGATTTCCTTTCGGTTTCCGTCAATGGATCGAAGTTTACTAGCACTACTTGCAGCCATTTTAAGCTTCTTTGTAGTATCTGTGATCTTAGCTTTGCTTATCTTAATATGTAAATCAACTAAAATAACCCCTCCTCAAACCCGACCCTCACCTACCCCTCCCGATCTCACCACATGCGACAGCGCCGCCTTCGACCCCTCTCTCAAACGCCTCGACATGGCGGAACTCGCCGCCGCCACCAAGAACTTCTCCTCCGACCTCATCATCGGTGACGGAAGCTTCGGATACGTCTACAAAGCAACCCTCTCTTACGGCGTCACCGTCGCAATTAAAAAGCTCGATCCGAACGCCTTCCAGGGGCTTCGAGAGTTCCGCGCTGAGATGGAAACCCTAGGCAAGCTTCGTCATGACAACATCGTTAAGATCCTTGGGTTTTGCTCTTCGGGTGTGGATCGCGTCTTGATATATGAATTCATTGAGAGAGGAAGCTTGGACCAATGGCTGTACGACGAGGAAGAAGAAAACTCGGTTGACAGTTTAACGTTATCTTGGGATACCAGGAAGAAGATAGTCAATGGGATTGCTAATGGTCTGGCCTTTTTACATGGGCTTGATACGCCCATTATCCATAGAGATATCAAGGCTAGCAATGTCTTACTGGATACCGATTTCGAGCCCCATATTGCTGATTTCGGGCTTGCTCGGAAAGTTCAGGAGGCCCATTCACATGTATCGACCCAAGTTGCAGGGACAATGGGTTACATGCCGCCAGAGTACCGTGAAGGAAACACTGCAGCGACGGTGATGGCAGATGTTTATAGCTTTGGAGTATTAATGATCGAGATCGCCACCCAAAACCGACCCAATTGGCCCGTGAGGTTCGAGAGTAAAGACTTGGGACTAGTGGAGTGGGCTAGAAAAATGGTAGCCCAAAATCGACAAACAGAAATGATATATCAAAAGATTCCAGATAAGGAGTTGATCCAAGATGAGGTGAAGGAGTATTTCAGAATTGCTTGTATGTGCACTAATGAGCTATCTAAAATAAGGCCTGCCATGAGTCAAGTTGTTGAGCTGTTGAATCAAATTTCCTCATGAACTTGCAATTGGTATAATTCTTTCCCTTCATAAGAATGTTGTATTATTTTGTCATCATGTTAAATATTGTACCAATTGTTTGTATCTAGTGTAATAACAATTTTAGTTTCTGAAATTTAAATATTTTATTAATTAAGTTCTAATTTAAATCAAATTTAATTATAATTCTAAATATTTTGATTAAACCTTAAATTTCTCAATTGTCATCCTCTATCAGAGTTCATCTTTGTTAAACTTTCGGACATACCTCAAAAAACTACCAACTCTCCCCCAGTTAAGACCCTTCAAACATACTCATTCGCTTATTGAAGTCTCCAAGGAGCCATATCCTCTGGGGAACAGAACTCCGAACGAGCTACAACACAAATATAAGACCTCTGGCAGACTCACGTTATCTAGTAAAACGAAATCTAATATTTGATGATTAGATCTATTTAACCTATTGACATAAAAATAGCTATAATAACCTTATGTCTGACAGCACTTGCTAGAAGCACTATAAATACCCAATGACTACAACTAAGAAAGGGATTTGATCACTTTCTTCTCCTTTCACCCACACATTCCCCATTATGACCTCTATTAGACCGAGCATAAGAACGGAGAGCTCATGCTACAAAAAAGCACACCAGCAGAGGACCAATTGATGCCAGTGCCTCAAGGGAGCACCATCGATTCAGGGGCGGATGCACTAAGCCCCCTAGGGGTCAAGTGCATCCCCATTATTTAAGGAAAAAAGTGAAATTTAGTATAATATGTCAAAGAAAAATAAAAAAAATAATTTTTTTTGCATCCCCATTATTTTTAAGAAAAAAATTAAAATTTTGAATCCTCCCATTTATAAATTTTTGGATCCGCCACTGCCATCAAGCTACAAAAAGTCACGCCTTGGACGACAACATCCACAAGAGCAACATGGTAAAGCACGAAAAGCTTCTACAATGGTCTTTCGCACCGCCTCACAGGCAGGTAACCGTCGTATTATTGACTAACTCGTTTCTGGTAGGAATACCCCTCGAGAAACTGCCAAGCTACTCTTAGCCCAGGTACTTGGAAAATCCCCTATAGGAATAGCATGTAATGTTTAAATAAATAATACATGCAAGAATTTAAATTTTGGTATTTCCGCTTAAGCTCTTAAGTCTCCAGGAACGTTCTTGTTATCTTCAATCATGTTGGCGTAACATCGAGTTACCTCTATTCAATTGTCATAGTGGGAATACCTCTATTGTATGGCTAATAGAGCGTCGAACTACCTCCTCTCTAAGTGTTGAAATGTCTCTACTCATAGAAGAGATAAGATATCTTTGCCCTTGGTGTTGATATGCCTCCACTCACTAGAAGAGACGGGATGCCTCCGAACACAGAAAATCCTCTGCCTGCTAATTAAAGAAACGTTGAGCAGTCTTTGTACCTACAAAATTGTGAATTAACTATAAGTGTATTGAGTTACCTATACCCTGACTTACAGTGGAACCGCCTGAGGGGTCGAGGTACCTATGCTTCAACGATGATATGCCTTTGCCCAGTCTCTTAACAAAGATGCATCAATTCCATATGTAGTGTATGGTATGCGTTGAGATGCCTCAACACCTATCGCAATGCGCTCAAATTGTGCAGGCCCCTCGACTCCCGCTAACAACATTAAGATACCTCACTTTCTTCTCAAATTATTGGATTACGTCTTAAAACCAGTCAAAAGAGTTTAAAGCCTTTGTTCCAGCATCAAGATGCTTTTAACCTATTTTCACATTATCAAGATACCTCAATTTTACCATACAATGTATGATATGCGTTAAGATGCCTCTGTACTCACCGCAGTGAGTTAATACAGACTGAGGAACCTCCTTTACCAGCTTGGAAAGTGTTAAGACACCTCACACTACAAGATTATGTCCCTACAGCAGACAGAAAGAGCCGAGAACCTACACACTAATAAAATGTCGAGATATCCCACCCTAAAAACGTTGAGATACCTTCGGAAACCTGACTAATACCAAATTGTCTAACACTTGCGTATTAATACCAAATTTTATAACTGATTCCGAAATTACTGTCGTGTACCAAATTGTCTATCAATACACCAATTATTATAACAGTACCGAAATAATGGGTTTACACATCCTTTTGAGGGAGGGTTTGGGAAACTTTTAAGCAGCGTACCCTAGATTTTTCCTACTATGGAAAACAATAAACACGATACAGTACCAGAGAATTAAACAGATTATTTATAATAATATTTAAAGGCAAAAAGATTAAGAGCCATCTGCGGATACCTAAAACATCACACAAACCACATTTTTCTTCAAAATGCTTGTAGACCAGAAAGTCACAAAGCATTCCCCTTCGCAGCACCATAAGTTTCCAACTTTGATTCTTAAAGACCTAATCCAACAGTACGACCATCCCTCCGCCGAAGTCCAGCAGTGTACTGCTTCTCCAAATCCAGCTGGAGTTCATGCTGCTTCTCTGCATCTTGATTGTCGGCTTTATGGTCCACCTTAACATCCCCTTTCACACCCTACAATTGACCATAGGTACCAAGGCAACCTCAGACTTTAAATCTGTGTTAGTAATGTGAAGAAACTATAATCCAGAGAATGCGTCATAGCACATGCAATAGTTTGTTAATACATAGTTCCAATGACCGACTAGTTAGGCAAACAAGTTGCTCAGAGAAAAACAAACAACCAAGGCATAGAAATGAAAAAGGGATTTTACCATGAGTTTATTGAACTTCTCTTGTCGCTCACGATCACCAAATAGTGCAGTATCCCAGCGATGACCTGACTGCCATCAACCAAACACATAGATATGAGTAGCAATTAAGGTTAAATGCAATAAATTCACAAAATCTTGAAAACTTAACTAATTCAGCAAAAATACCTCTTCTGCAGGACTGCTTTTCTTTCCCCCCCACAGCAATTTCTTCTTCTGCTCTGTAGTCATATTACTCTGGCCTGCCCCAATGAGTTTCCTATTAACTGCATTGATAATCATCAGATACCATATGAAAGCAATAGGAGGAAATAAGCATTTCATTGAAGCCCACCTGCCAGCCCTTAATGTTCCAATAGTCAGAACACAATGACTTAGGGCTAGTTAAGCCTTTGTTGTTATGGTTGAAAACTGAATTTTGAAATATTGGGTTGAAAAGTATTTTTTGAAAAGCACCTAGCAGCCAGCTTCTTGGTTTGGTTCCACAAGCACTTTAAAAATGTTTTAGATAGCAAAAGCCCTTTGTTTGACATTGCTTTCTTCTTTCAAACAAAGTTTTTGGACAGAAAAAGCCAGCCAAACATACGCTTAGCCAATGAATATAACTACTAAATTGAAATAGAGCTATCATGGTGGAAATGGTTGGAAATGATAGAAAAAGGAGACTCCATTTTAATAAATCCTGTGATTATTAGAGACAAAAACATGATACAAGCGTGGAAGACATCCCATAATTAGAATAATGAATCACATGTTTGTAAACCTCAGCTTCGAAGTAATTTATAAGAAGAGCATGCTATTACCCCATTTTCATGCAATACTACAGCTATTTCAACAAGTACAATCTAAAGGAAACACCAATTTTAAATGAATTGTTCATTAATGCATTTGAGTAAGTTCAAATAAGAGGGCGAAAGAGTGATGGCACCCTTAAACCAGATCATAAGAATACCTAATTCAGCGGCTTTCATTGCAGTAAATTTTGCAGCATTCACGTCATTGGTGGTGTCAACAACACTGCTATGGACCGGTCCAATGGTCACTCTTTCAACAGTCTCCTCAGTTTGCTCCAAACTTAACCCCTCTATTGTAAAAGAAGACATAGAAACTAATCACATAGTAATAAAACAGTGGTCGAATAACAGATAATGGAAACAGAAATGAATTTAACTTCTGCTAAAATTTAAATCAACAATAAGAAGAATAAAGTCAAAAAATAATTACCATCCTTATCATAATCAGAGCCCTTGCCCAAGCTAAAGAATTTCGACCTCTTTGCTAGAGGCTCCTGATTTTTACTGTCAAATATAGACTTGTCTTCAAACTGTTCCTTCCCTACTCTACCAAACCTATCCTTCTTTACCACATTAACTTCCCCTTCATCATAGTTCATTCTCTCTTTTTTGAAAGGCTTCAGGCCATCTAAATCCTCCAGCCCACTCCTGTAACCTTCTTTAGGGTGACGTTTATCAGTGTCCCTCTCCCGCCCAGAAGACGAGTCATTCCGATGGCCCCTCGACTCTTCAAAAGATGTGTAATTTCCTTTTTTATCTCTCGAGCTTCTATGATAGTCTACTTTTTCATCTCGACCACCCCTTTCGCACCTTCGATCTCTATCAATCTCTTCAGAGATAAAGTTGCCATGTTTCCTAACAAAGCCGACCCTGTCAAAAGATGAATCCTTGTCCTTATATTTAGTACACTCTAGAAAAGGTGATTCTTTCTCCTTGCCCTTGCTTCTGTGTCCAGCACCATCATATCTATCACGAGTATATTTGTCAGCATTTTGTGAATAGTCTTTTGACCTACTACGGTCACTTACATGTCTTGGATGATCAGAATGACCGCTAATTCTTGATTCTCGATCAGCACGAGAGGAAAATCTATCGTACTTGCTATCTTCATCTCCCCGTTTGTCATGCCTAACATAATCATCATGTCTGGGATAACAATGAGAACTCCTGGAAGACGGTCGATCAGAATATCTATAAGAATCACCATTTCTACTATACTGATTCCTAGTAGAATCCCTATCTAGTTCTCTCCCATCTCTTCCAGGTCGAGTATCAGCACTTTTTTCCAGATCATCCCTATAAAGCATGGGACTAACACTGCGATCACGCTGAGGGGAACTTCCTGTAAACACCACAATCAGAAATGGAATCATATAAATGTGATAATTTGTGTTGAAATGAATCAAACTTTCAAGGTCCAGGCTTGGAAGAGAAGAGAAACCTTATAAATTGTGTCAAATTAATAGTCATAACTCATAACATAAATTGCTTAAAAGAAGAAAGATATTTGAGCTCTTAAAATTGAAGCTTAATGTGTTAAACATTGATTAGGAAGTCCAATAGTAAGTCAAGCTCTGTATACCATAAATTAGTAAAGACTTGCAAAGTGGAAAAAGGCTCTAATTTTGTATTTCTAAATATTATTACTTGCATGCAAAATCCATCGAAACAAAGCTTCTTCATATATCTAAGGTTTCAAGGCTTGTATCATCGTGCCTAAATATATTAACCAAAACATTAAGGGTAAGAACTAAAGATTTGCTTATCCCAAATTCTAATTCAAGCAATACACAACCAGCAGCAAAGACCAAACAATACCAAAAGCACTTCTGAAAGACCATTCTCTATTTAACCATAAGGGATCATGTCAAATCAACTGCTTCAGGCAAACATGACTAGACAGAAGTGTAATAAATTAACAACAGAAGGGTCAGCTCAAATAAGAATTCACCGCATATTTATGACCATGTGACACAATGGAAAGGAAGAGAAGCTTTAGAAAACAAAGTGGTCAAGAAAGTCAAGATAAATTTCCTAGCAGATTAGGAACTGCAGTTTTAATTTGAGTTTCAACAAAATTATGTCATTATTGTAGACACAATGAATACTGTTAAATACTAATCGTATGCTCCGATGAGGTGTATTCTAGCATTAAGGAGAGTATTGGGTAATTCTTTTTCTCAATGTTACCTGGACTTAGGAGTAAGTGTCGGACATGGATAAGTGTCAAGAATAGGTATGTTCAATTTTTCTCCAAGTCTTCCCATGCATTTCGAGGACCTTGGGAGGGCCATATCCCCATACTCATGCCAGATACAGATATCGGATATGGGTACTTCAAGATAATTGAATAGCCAAAGCAACAAGGTTTTTTTTAACCAAGTCTTAGTTTGTGCTTGAGTGAGGAGAATTCTGGTAATTATTCTTTTTGGGCTTTCAATTAGAACCATTCACTCCCATTAGACACTAGAATAGATATCAAAAACCTAAACCAGAATCCAAAGAAAGCAACCTTCAAGCATGAACCTAACCTTGAATCATTTTCCATATGTCTATTTCATAGTCCAGAACGAAAAGTAGATTTAATCCATATTCCTTTCTTTCTCTTTCTCCGCAATCTTATATCTGCCCTCAAAACTGAGTTTTCCTTTCCAAACCAATCAAAAGCCCTAAATTATTTTAGCTAAATGCATTTTCCTTCCACTTATGAAAGAAAACTATTTTGTTTAGAGTGCAGAGTTCCAAATTCAACGAAAATATGTTCAAGTTTCCAAGAGAAACAACAAGAGCTTAGGTAAAAAATTAACAATCGAACCTTCAGCTGAAGATAGCCCGCTAACTGGAGTACGACGCCTGTATTGTCGACTAGAAGTGTCATTAGAAGGCTTACGAAATGCGGCTTTTGCATCAGAACTATCAGGCGGTGAAGTCTTTAAATTTGGGTCCATGATGCCAACTACCTGTAATAATACATATTTTTGCATTATATTAACATAACAAAGCACTAGAGGAACAAGATGGGTTCTGGGGGGAAATGATGTTATTCGGGGAAAGTTACGGATTTTTCTTCGTTCTTTTAACTTTTTGGGCCTTTGACAAGAAAAAAACCTAGTTAAATTAGGGAAAATTCAACTGAAATTCGAGATGAGAGGTTTTTTTTCTAAAAATTGAATCGGAAACCCCACACACAAATTAAACAAACACCAAAAACTTAACCACGTACAAAACGAAACTCAAACGGCAAGCAAATAAAGAAATTGAATTCTATAGTTAGATTAAACTATTACCTTAGAATTTATTGTTGAAGGTTTGGAAAACGTTTAATCTCCTGTGCAATGCAAAATCAAGACGTAAATCTGCATGGAGGAGACAAATAACAGAACCGGAGCACAGAGAATCAGTAATTTAGTGACGGCTTGCAGTCTTTCGAGATAAGGAAGAAACACAAGAAAATGAAAGGAGGAGGAGATGAGAGAGCCAAAGGAAATGGAATATATACTCTATTTATATGTTAACCCTCCCTCGCCAATAAATTTAACCGAACTATGCACATTGTATTTGTGTCAACATAAAAATAAATCAGTATTATTTTTTAACATTTTTTTCTGTTTTGATTTATCATTAAAAGTAGCTTTTTCATATAATTATATTTTTTAATAAATAATTATTGAATTAAAATATATTTAAAATTAATTTTCTAAATAACGCCTATTTGTTTGATGAAGAACATAAAAAATAAAGATTACAAAATACGCATTGTATAAAATCTGTATATGCCTTACTTGACACAAATGAGTTAAATCTTAAAAGACATTTCTAATCAAACACACCTTTTATGGAAAAGAAACACGTTTTGTTTAATTTTAAGCTAGTAATTTACGATTTTGGATGTTTAGTCAATTGATGATTTTTAGAGTTAGCGTTAGAGTTTATGTAATTTTAAAGTTATGTTAGGTTAATTTTGGTGGTTATCTTCTTACTTTAGTGCTTAAATTTTTAGTTATTTTGTAAGATTAATTTAGAGGGATCCTGAGGTCCATGTTATTATGCGAGGACCTATTCTTTGAGGATTAGATTTGATGAGAGTTCAGGTGTTTTTAAGGCTTCTAGATGATTGAGAGATCGATGACTTATTTCAATAACTAGTGGTGTTTGTAGGTGGTGACGATTAGGGTTTCTCTAACCTTAGGGGTTGTTTGTTTATCTCTTAATAAAATTATTTAGCGTTGAATATTGAACGATTCAACATTCAACGCATTTATTTCGTACTTCTGAATGAAATATCCCCTTAATCTTTGTGCCTTCCGTCTGAACCATTGATCTAGGCATGATTAAACGATCCAGAATAGGCTGCACAACAAGATTTAAAAAAACTGTAATTGTTCCTCTTAATCTGGTTGGATGAATCTAGCTCTGATGGTATGTGTTTGACGACGCTGGAAGGATTTGATGAAACCCTAATTATTAATGCTCCTGTGCTGTAAGATTTCCTTCAGATCGAATGGATCCCATTTTAGCGGCGTTAAGGTAATAAGACAAAACCCTAATTTTTTGGGTTGTCACGCGGGCCACCTTCTTTTGGACTGCTTTGAAAGGGCCTTTTGTAAAGCAATTGTCATTTGAGTTTTTGTTTTGTATCCTTAGGCTTGATTTATAACCCGTAAAATATAAAAATAAATGTCAAGATTATCTATTTATTTATAGAATATATGTACACATAAAATAACTATATAACTATGTCCTTAACCGAAACATTTATGAATATATATTTATACACCTCCGATATAATAAATATACTACTAACAGTAGGACGTACGTATATTAAAATCCTAATCGTTATTGTTCCTAAAAGTCACGAGTCCGAGCACCAATAACTACAAAGTTGATTGAATGTTTATTGTCAAATAGTTGAGAGTATTTAGAACATATACTACTTTATAATCACTATTAGCTTAATAAAAAAATAAACCTATAAATAATAATTAAAATCAAAACTTTTAATTAATATAATTAACCAAAAATGAAAAAAAATACTAATAATTAAAATGAATAAAATTGAAATTGAAATTCGGACAAAATATAGTGTCTACAAGAAGCATGTGATAGACATAGTTTCAAGAGACATGAACCTAGAAGAGGATGATGGTCATGAAGATGTTCTAAATCTTATCATTCTCTTATTTGTTGAACTTTATTCGATAGAAACTTTATTTTATTTTGATTTATATTAATTTTTTATGTGATTAATTTAGGGTGTTTACGAGTGATTAATTTAGGGTGTTTATATAACTGTTTTTTGTGATTAACTTTTTTTTTTTGACTTAGTTCTTGCGATTTGAATTAACTATTTATTTAATCTTTTCTGCTTTTGGTATGTATTAAACTACTAAATCTCCTTAACGAGATGATTGGTTTAGAGGGAGTTCTTTATTGTCTAAATTCTGTGTTTTTGTGGCTCGATTTATTTTCTCGAAAACTATCAACGGGGGAGATTGTTAGTGCCAACAATTTGCATTAAGCTTCGATGTGCACAGGTGTTCGCTGGTGCCTGTTTATCTCTACGTTCATAACTCAAACTACATTAACAAACAACGTGTTTCAACTCTCTTTACTTTTTGCAGAAATAAGATGTTAATCGTTGAATTCAGGCAAGGATCGGCATAAAATTTTATCTATTACATGGATTTTTCACAATCATTAGCGAATTTAAGCATCAGGCTTCTCTGCCAAAGATGTAAGTTTTAATGTGTACAACATTGTGAATTGTGATGCATTTGAAACTGATACTATATGGCCTGTCTAACCATGCCCTTTTGCTTGCCATTTTTGTTAGAATCTAGTCATTTATGCATCTTGAACCTTCCCATCATTGTTGCTATTGAATTCAATGCGTGGCTTCCCCATGCTAAAGTTCAATACTTTGGCATTCATGTTGTATTTAATTTCTCCATCATATAGTAGCTTCCTGATGTAGTGCTCTATGTCTGAACCGATCAATCGCAGCGTGTACTCCGTCAACGGCGCTCCCTGTTTGCACATCATGCATTAGTTCTCATTATAGCAGAACACCAAGTATGCTAAACAAATGGAAAGGCTGTTGGAACTTGTGGAACTAGGTAGAAACTTGTGTACTTGTTTTCAGTTAACCAAACTCAAAACTCGACATCAAGAAAAAAAGTTGGATTACCTCATAGTGATCCACAAGCTCTTGGAAGTATGAATAAACACTATTGCAAGTTTCAGGAGTCCAGACAAACTCATCAGTAGGGTCAAGTATAAGGGTGAGTTTATCCATCTGAGTTTGATCGAACTCGCAGGTTTCCGGATCGATGTAGGCGGCATAGATTCTGACGTGCCGCGTAACACTGCTGAGCCACTGCCCTCCGAATTCTTTGCTCATGTTTTTGCTCTTCACATTGATTTGTTTCTCCACCGGCCTTGGTTGTGTAGCTTGTTGCTTGACCCTGTCTGGTTCTTCCTGCACTTTAGCTTCCTGTGTTTCACCAACTTCAGCTTGCTGCTGAGCTGAAATTGAAAGAACCTTTTTCCCCCTCAAATCTTTTTTCATTCCACTCCAACCCAACATGGAGAATTTAGTGCAAGCTATGTACGAGGAAGTTGCAGCCATGATTGAAATCTTAATGCTTCTCTTCTGAAATTGCTTTGAAGGAGCTTTTTGGTGAAAGCTGCTACAATTTGATCCATTAGTTTTGTGGATAAGTGTTTTTGTTTTTATCCAAAGGTTGAGTTGGGCTGAGCTTGTATACGAGTGTGGTGGAGAAACAATCAAAATTGCCTGCCATCGATTACGATAATTGGCCTTTCGGCAATCTCTTTACCATAAAATTAATAAATGCATTGAATTTATTTATTTTATCATGCCATAATTGTGTTAAATGTCTTTTATACTTACATCAATCTTATCATAGTGGTGTTATATCACTCACAATTATTAATTGGCCTTTGGGCAATCTCTTCTACTCTTCCAGCCTTCAATTATTAATTTTAATTGATTGTTCATCAATTATAAGTTTATGGAACAAAAATCATATGCCCCTTTATATGCTCCATCAATGATTTAATGCTATTTGTATTAATGAATTTTAGTTTGTCGTCAACTTGTTTTTACATTAATATTTATTTTTTTTACCGTATACTATTCACCTCCTTTAACAAATGATCTCCATCAGTGTTGACTGAGTTGATACTTTAATATCTCTACTGATTGCATCAGAATTTTTGAAGAAGGTTCGGCCTCAATAATTTTGTGATGTATCTCGTGTTATGTTGATGATTTTATAGGAGTCAAAGCTCAATATGATAAGTAGTCGGTAAATATGACTATGAGTAGAAGCTCAATATGATAAATCTGCAGTAAATACGAGCCGATGCTTAGTGCGATAAGTCCCCAGTAATAAAAGTGTTCTTTTTGTATCTAGTATTTTTTTTTATTAAATTACTACATAAGTAATGCTAAATTCAGCTTGATCCGAACCTACGAATATTACTGCATAAATAAATCATTTATTTATTTTGATCTAATGATTATAAATCAGTGTAAAATTTATTTGTTTTATAAGGTGTAAGTAGATCTTATTCCGTGTATATATATATATATATATATATATATATATGTTTTTACGTTAGATGATTACTTATGTGTATTCTTTCCCAGTTTCCCTAGTTTTATTTTCTTTATTTATAAAAAGAAAGGTTTCTGTCAAACTTCCTCCAAAACTATCACTATATGGTGTTTCACAATTTAATTCATTGATTTATATAATTGTTCTTAAAACATAATATTTAATAAGTTGAAACTTAAAATTTATTGACTAATCTCGATGATTAAAATTAATATTGTTCTTTTTTAAAGTTTTAGATTCAAACAATTATATCTACGACGTGTGTGTACGTTGTTAATGATTAAAAAAAATTATAAACATGTACTACCTTGTAATTATCTCATATTATTAAAAAGAAAGTTTAAGCTTAAAAGGTACAAGATAATAAATGTTTGGTATTTTTTTAGTCATTGACAAACTATACCCATCTTGTAGTTTCTCGAATCTAAATTTTCTATAAAAAAAAATAACAATCTTTTGTCCTTGCTGAATTCTCTCGTTAAATTTTATTTAATTGAAATTCATATACGAGGTAATAAAAGAAGGAAGAATAAAAAGAAGCATACAAAGTTATAATATTCCAACCCTTCACCAGATTTGGCCTAGCTCAGGTCTAGTAATTCAGACCTACAATTTCTCCTCGAACAAAGTGGAACATAATCTTTTGGATCAAAGGCAATTTATATATCCATAACAAGTAATTCTCGTTAAAGGTCATCAACTTGGTCTGCCATGCCAAGTTAGAACTTGGGAACCCTTTCAAAACATTAAAATATTTAAAGAAAAAAAAGTCCCATATTTTGCAATGACTTTTACCTTGTACAATTTGCTTCAAACTTTAGCTTTCTTCCCCACTTTGTATCTTTGCTCTTTCTCTATAAGAATTTGGGACAAACGTGGGATTCTATATTATGGGACGAACTTATAGAATTTTAAAGAGGAGTTAATTTATAAAATTTTAGGAGGCGAAAATAGATTATTAATAGAAAATATAAGAGAATTTTAAATTTTCAAGGGACGACTGCCCTACTAGGCCCTGTTGCAAGTGCATAGGTTGATATATTAGGTTTGAGTTTTCTCTGTGTCCTAGTTTTATTGGGAACTTTTGCCAATCTTTTTTTGCTTGTATTTTAGGGGGGGAGTGAATTTATTCTCTTTGCAATTGCATAGGTTGATATATTAGGCTTGAGTTTTCTTTGTGTCCTAGTTTTATTGGGACTTTTGCCAACCTTTTCTTGCTTGTATTAGATCAATGAAGTCAAAAGAATCAGTACTTCCCCATGTACTGGTTTCAATTCATTGCAAATTAGTCACCAAGAAGCATATATGGCTATGAATGATCACTACCCAATATTTCTTTTCCAGGAAATTTAAACCTACCAGGAAAGAAAAATGGAAAAGAAAGCTTGACATTATCATTCATGAGATAGTTTTGCATTGGCTTGTTAAGGCTCACTTCTTATTTCAATCATGATTGATTAAGCTACAAGCAAAGTTAGAGAGAATGCGACTGGTTTTTCCATAATTATTAACTTTTCTATATTTTGAACAATTTTATAATTAAATTATCATTTTCATCTCAATTTATCTATAAAAAAACAGACAATAAAAGCATAACATATGTCATGTCATTATTGAATGGTGATAAAATTTGAAGATACAACGAGAAAACATAATGTGAGTTTAATAATTCATGACGTGTATATTAAGTAGGAGTAAATTAAGATGGGAAATGGCCCATAAAAGACACAAAAGTATAGTCGGTTTGGTTTTTGATTTGTATTTTCCTAAATGGTTATCATGATGTGCCACAATGCTATTTCCAGGCAGCTTTGCTTGCTGATTCAGCAAAGTTGATTTTAGGGGATTCCCCCAATTCATTATTTCTATCCCCCAACATTTCAAGCTCCATAATTCAACACTTTTTTGGAGTAAAAAATATCTTTAAAAAAACAGAAAAACCTTTGCATTCTGGTCTATAATTTAGTTTGATTTTTTATTAATAATATTAATTTATTTAAAATTTAATAAAATTAATAAATAAAATCATCATATTTCATAAAGTAATCTCTTTCTTAATGTTAAAAAAAATTGTCAATCATTAAAAATATAACACATAAAATTTCTCATGTCAGTTGCTTCTGATTTACGATTTGTGCTGATCATAACTTGATCACCTTTTATGGTTCGTTTATCGATGTAATCAGATTTGTTTGTATCTACCATTTATTCGTGTTTATTTGGTTATGTTTCTTTAACTTTTACTTTATATGATTATCGTGTGATCTTAAGTGGCTAGTTTTTGTATTAACGGTTATAGAAAAATGTTCATATTATAAGTTAGTTTACGGTTGTGGTCGTAACTTTTATTGTAATTTAGATATTTTTTTCTTCTAATTTTAATAAACCAGCTGGTTTTATTTTTCTAAAAAAACCAAGCAGTTAAAAACTGACAAGTGATTCTTTAAAAGTATTAAATTAAAAAAAATTAATTCAATTAAAGAAAAATAAATAATAATATATTGTAATATTAATATTAAAAATATAAACATAATATATTATAAATATTTTTTCCTTCTCCCTTTTGTTTCTCAAATTACTCCCACCTGTAAAACCTTTGTTCCATTCACAACAGTTTCACATATACGACATCGTTAAGAAATAAACTGAGAGGTGCAAATCCGATGGCACACATATTTGTGTTGCTAATATGTTTGATGGATCAACTATGAACATGAAGGATTTAGATATTATCGCTCTCGTTGTTCTCTTTAAACATTTTGAATTTAAGTAGTTGTGTCATAAAATGTATTAATAAGAATAAGTATGGGTCGAGTTTCTGACTAATCCGATTCAACCCGAAAAATATACGCTCTCTATTCGATTTTTTTTTGGATTTCTTCAATATCTCACATTCGCTCGTTCGAATATTATCTTTATTGTTAACCTTTTGTCACAATACATGCATAATCATGTATCTACCCATTTGTCACACTAACAGACAAACACTTCATAATATATAATATCTCAAGATCATATAAGAATCATTATTCATTTGATAATACACGTTTAAGAGTACGTCACCGTCTAGCCCTTTAAGAAACAAGTTCATGCCCGCATCTAGGCGTCGTCAAGATGCATGTAGAGCAGTTGAACAACTTAAATATTTTATTGTAATTCGGTGTTATGGTCATTATTTTATAATAAAAATTATTTTATCGTTTTAGTTTATTGAAATAAATTATTATATAATATGATTAGATAAAATTGCATTCGTTGTCAAACATTTAAATCTAGGGTAGGGAGAGTTGAATCTTTTGGAGGTAACAGCCAAAGAGATGCAAAATTCTAATAGAACAGAGATTGTGGATGCAGCATGCATGAAAAGTTGCAGATTTTTTATATTAAATATTTTTTTGGACAAAGATAAGAGAACCCCAACACACCACTTCATGTGCTATTATAACATATAGAATAATGTTTTTATCCCAACATTATCCTACTTGGTGAGTGAACTGCACATGCATCCCTTCCTCTACCTTTTTTTCTTTTGGTTTAAATGAAATATTATTCTTTAAGAGAATTTGGAAAAAATATATTTATTTGCATATAACAATTTTTTTAATTATTAAAAATATATAATTTTATAATTGAATTTAAATCAAGCTCATCGAATGAAATGCAGTGACAGATTTAAAAATATTTCTGAAGGTGGATACACATATTAATAACACAGAAATTTTATATGAAATAAAATTTTAATGTAGATATTATCAATAAAATAAATAACCTAACCAGAATGAATAGATACACAAATGATTAGGTTTAGTAGAGTGTTTATATTTTGTTTTCTAATTTAAGTTCAGCGATTTTCGAGTAATTGTCAAGTTTGGGAAGGCTTTAATTGCTTGTGGCTTGATATCCTCACAGATCTTTCTCATCTTCTTCGGCATCCCATGGCATGGGACACCGTGTATTTTCTAAAAAAACAGTCTTTCTATTTCTCTCTATTTTATTAGTCATTAAAATCTATTTTTTAAATTTAATATCTCAAATTTTAATTTATTAATATTTTATTATTTAGACATTAAATCAAAAATGAAATAATAACATGATAATCATACATGCTGATGTTAATTGCTTTTTGTTTACATGACATCTATGTTATTTTATCTTCTTCCTATTTTTATAGTTTAATTTTTATATCACATAATCATTTTTCGATATCTTCTCCAACCACTCAAATTACTAATGAACTCATTTCTTCGTCTCTTACCACTATCACTTTAGATTTTCACATGATCATTTTAAAACTCCAAAATTCAACTCAAAACTTGTGAGATCTTAAATCACTCTGAACTATAATATTCACCATCCAATCAACATGAAATCATGATATATAAGTAATTTTTGGAGTAATATCATGATTTTTAAAAGAAAATTGTCCATTTATAACTTCGTTAAGTATATAAAAGTGAAATGATCAAAATGAGAGCAAAAATATACCTGAAAAGATATATGAAGCTGTCGAAAACTGACCTTCCATTGATGTACCAGAGTATATACAAAGTAATCAATGAAAATCTCAAATATAATCTCTCAACCTCCAATGAGCTTTTGCTCACCGGGGTTACCTCTTCAAAGTACATGAAATTTGTTATAAAGATTTACATTTTCAAACAAAGCTAATGTCTTGAACGTTTGTATCACAAAATTTGGAATCCGTCCGGTTCTGAACAGCTCTCACTGCAGCAACCCTAGCGGCTGTTGCAGCCCTATTCGCCGCCAGAACGGCCTTCTTCACTTGTTCATCGACCATGCGAAGATGAACGGAATCTGCAGCTTTCTTTCTAGCAGCCTGCAGAACCAGCGACATAGCACAATGATAATGATTTATGAATCGGACTGAATGGCATATTAACAAGGAATGTGAGTTAAAGAAAATACCTGAACTGCTCGAATGACTACATCCGTTAGTTGCGGTAGAGGGGTTTTAAGGTTGCCGGAATCCCATTCACCACATCTGGTGTCACCACTCCTGAAAGTATACACGCCATACCCTTGCTTTCGACCTTCATGCCACGAGCCTTCGTAACAATGTCCATTAGCGAAGTGATAAACTCCAAATCCATGCATTTTATCTCCAAAATATTCTCCGGCATATTTATCGCCGTTCCTACGACATCGAAATCAAATTTATGAAGATAATGATAAGGTCTCTATGATTGAATACAAATGATGTACCTAAACCCAGGGCTTAACATAATCAAAGCATTAAAGATCCATAAAAGGAAATTAAGTTTCTCCGCAAGCTATTAATATTATTCGATGAATCCAAAGACAGAGAAGCTCCACAACCAATATTTCTGTGAAAAGGCTTAAATGCAGAATCAATACTTATTTCTTGTTGAATAAGAAAAATACAACCAATTTTAGAAAGCTGTAGAAAAAGTGAAATGCAACAGAATTGAGCTGGATATACTCGAATTTCTCAATTCCCCATAATCATGAAAGTAGAAAAAAAGGGTAAATTTTTATTAGAGAACCAAAAAAGCTGTCAAATATTGAATTAGAAGTTCAATAATCAACAGTAAACAGGGATAAACAAAAACTCAATACATCTATGGAAACAGAGAAGCTCTGAATCAGTCAGATATTCCATGGAAAAAGCTTTAAAAGAAAGAAGAAAAAATAAACATGAATTGAAGAAATTCAACAGCAAATCCGCCATTGAACTCAAACCTGGGAAAAATACGAAAGAACTCATTTTCATACCTGAAATGGTAGTAGCCAAGTCCATGTTTAACCCCAGATTTGAACTCCCCAACATAGTAACTCCCATCAGCACAAGTTTGAACACCAACACCATGACTTTGCCCATTACACCATTCCCCAGCATATGAATCCCCAGTATAAAACCTATAAACTCCAAACCCATGCCTTAAACCCTGTCTATATTGTCCTCTATATCTACTCCCTCTACTCCAGCTCTCTACTCCATACCCATCATATCTGCCTTCTACCCAGTCGCCTTCGTAACTCCCATTCAGGGAATAGTTATAAACCCCACTCCCATTACACTTTCCCTTATGAAATTCACCTTCATAAAAATCCCCATTATTGTAGAACTCCACTCCTTCTCTTACAACCAGCAGAACCCTTTCTGTTTCTCTGTTGGCGTTTCTATTGCATTGGGTTTCTCCAATGAACCATTCGACAGGTTTCGAATTAGGTTTGGAAAAGTGGAGTCTTTCCTTGAAACAAACAATTCCTTGGTTTATCAAAGCTTTGTTTTTTGAAGCTAAAAAAAGGGTTACGGCGAAGAAGATTAAGGCTAACAAAAGATTTTCCGACGTGGGGATTTCTTCTCTTTGTAGATAAAAACCAAAGAAGAAGATGAAAGAGAACAGAGTGAAGAAAGAAATTGAAACGATGACGAAAAACGGTTTGAACCGGACCAGTATAATCCTCGGCAACATCGAATAGGTTTTCTTTGGTGGCAGTTTCGTTTTTTTTTCATCTTTCAGTAGGGACTCTCGACTCTGGTCTTCCAGGTCTTTTCCAAATTCATCCTCGGCGATGGACGACATACTTCGGGTAGAAGATCGGACGGTTGGTGATGAACGGAGCAACGACGACTGTGTTCGCGTTAGTTTCGCCTGACTCTTTTGGCTCTCCATTTTACAAGTTGGGTCCAACAGAAAAAAGGGGAGCCGTCTGATTTGATAAACTGATTTGATAAACTTTTACCACCACTGACCTTTCTTACACCGTTAGATTCTTATCATAAGCCGGCAACATCTCAGGCGACGCACGTTAAACCGGCACCTTGTGCTAAAACCGGGGACGATCGAGAATCGATAGAAGATATTTGTTTTATAAAACCTTTTTTCTTCTTCGGTTGGTAGAAACTAGAAAGTGTGACTCTGGAGATTTGGACCGGCGCATTTGATTTGTACTTGAGGTGTAATAGAGAATGGGTAATTAAATTTAAGCCGTTGGATGGAAACCTGATTGGCTGGAATGATTTCTATGTTTTTAGCCGTTGGATTGGATCTTAAGGGAAAGATATGGTCGTCGGATCTAGATTCGGTTTTGTATTTTTTTTACTTTACTGTGGCAGGCAGGGCTGGCCACGTGCCCTCATCTGATTCTATAATTATTTTTTTCACTTTTTCGAACTGGAATTTTTTCCTACATCACATCTTATAAAATACTCGACTAGTACCACTTACTCTTATAAATGGACGGAACGTTAAGCGAATCGTTTATAAATCGTACGGTGGGAAGTTCGTTTATTTATTAAATGAACGAACATGAACAAGATATTGCGTTTGTTTAATTAAATGAACGAACACGAACAAAGAGATTATTCGTTCATTTACGTTCATGAACGTTCGATTATATGTTTATTTAAGTTCGTTCATTTATGTTTGAACAAAGGGCAATTTAAATATGTTACGAAGATTATCGAAATTGTTTGGATTTCAAGAATATTGTTTTGTTGAACAAATTAACTTTAAGAATTTATTATGTTTATATAGTTTATTTATGATTTGTGTATGTTTTTGTCGTATTCGAACAAATTAACTCTAAAGTTGCATGTTATATTGTAGACACCCATTTTCGTCTCATTTTTTTATATATACATATATATATATATATATATATATATATATATATATATATATATATATATATAATATATATATATATATATATATATATAGTTTTGAAAACATATTTAAAACATTTATATATATAGTTTTTAAAACACTTTGAAAATAAATATAATATATAGTTTTTAAAACGTTTTTAAAAAAATATATTATACGGTTTTAAAAAACATTTTTAAAATAAATATAATTTTTAAAAAGAAACATTTTGAAAACATATATATATATATAGTTTTGAAATCATTTTAAAACTTATAATATATAGTTTTAAAAAAACATTTTTGAAACTATATAATTTTGAAAACGTTTTTAAAAAATATATATAATATATAATTTTAAAATACTTTTGAAAATATATAATATAATATATAGTTTTAAAAAAACATTTTTGAAAACTATATAATTTTGAAAACGTTTTTAAAAAATATATATAATATATAATTTTAAAATACTTTTGAAAATATATATTATATAGTTTGTAGAAAATATTTTATATTATTATTATCGTTGTTATTTATTTTTATTTATTTATTTTTATTAATTTTATTTTCATTTTAATTGTCCAGGTCCATTTTGGGGTCCAAGTGAGCCAAGTCGGGCCTGACCCAGCCCAGTTTCTGAGCTAGGGTTTCTCAACTTAGTCCCAGTGCCGCATGGCTTATAGCCGTTAGATCGAGCAGTGATCAACGGCTCAAATCGCGTGATAGCTAGGGTTCTGAAGCCCTAAAAGTTTCATCAAATGCGCAACCAGATCTGGACCGTTGGATCTGACCCAATCCAACGGTCGAGATCAAGGGTTCCAGAAGATCTAAAGTCACCGGTCAGCCGAGGATTCCGGCCACGTGCAGCACAAAAATCGGAGCTACTCGGACTGAACCATCTGAGATCACCGAAAACCACCCCGGAATATCCGGGATCAACTCCAACCACGACCGAAAATGGCCCCAACGGGAGCCTATAAAATCAAGGCATCAACACTACCACGGGGAAAAATCATCGGAGGCTAGGCAGAACCATCGAAGCCATCACCACCACGAAAATACCACCAGAGAACTCACAAGAGAAAACACAGTACACACGAGCCACAGAACCGAGGCCACAACATCGGTCTACAATCGAGCAGAACACAATAACAGTACACAAGAAACCATCTTAAACCGAAACATCACAACACAGAAAACCAAAGCACCGAACCAAATCCAAGCACAACAACCCACGAAATCCAAAAAAAACCCACACAAGCCTATACTACACATCGCACAAAAAAAACAGAAATACAAGTCACAAAGCAAACCACTCGTACAAAAGGTGAGGCTTCGGTCGTGGTGCTCGTCGGAAGAAGAGGGGTCACCGGGAATACGAACGGTTTAAGAGTAAAAATCGAAACTTTACACCTAGATCCACGCTGGTAGGGATAAGTTTTGGTGTTTTAGGTCTCGGATTTGGGTGTACGGGGTTAAAGGGAGTATTTTGCTAAGGTTCAGTTTGTCCGGCCGCCGCTCGCAGCGGCCGGGGTGTCGGGTTGCGGCCGGCCATTGGCCGAGGAAGAGCCTGAGAGTGTTTCTCTCGTTTTGAGAGATGAGATTTTTGGAAAATGAGAGAAATGAATTGAAAATGGGCGTTTTAGGTTATTTATATACCAGGGACTGCTTTGTAATTAGAGGATAGTTAAATCCTCTCCGCCGTCCCCCAAGGTTTGAAGTGCATTTCATTTCAGTCACCATATGCAATTTGGCCACGGACTTTTCAATTGATTCAATTTGGTACCATTCATATTTTACATTCTTTGCAATTCAACCCCTAATTTCTTATTTTACTTTATTATTATCATTTTTAAATTATTATTAGTATTATTTATTTTTACTTCATATCGTTTCCATTTTATTACTATTAAAATATTGTTTTTTTTGCCTTTTATTTTTATTAACTTATTTTTCCATCTAACATTATTCTCTTTTTTTAGTAGTAATCTCAATCGGTCAAAGGTAAGTAATCTGAATCGATTTCTTAAATTTTAATTTAAGTTTCTAATTTTTCACAATTAAAGACAACCGCCGAATTAATTGGTACCGAAAGGGCGGTTCAAGGGTGCTAATCCTTCCTTGACCGTAACCGACTCCCGAATCCGACATATTTCTGGTAAGACGCAGATCAAGTAAGAAATAAGGTATCCGATCAACCCATTTTTTTCATAAAATAAATGATCGGTGGCGACTCCAAATCTATTTTCCTAAGTCGAAGCCCGATTCCGGGGCCCAACCGAAAGACGGTTCCGACAGCTTGGCGACTCCACTGGGGACCGGTAAGTGAGTCAGGCCGAAATTAATTTCCGGTTGTCTTTTTTAGCGAAAATTACAAGTTTAAATTTTAATTTATTTATTCGATTCTTATTATTTATCTTTGATTATTTTTTCAAATAAATAGTTGTACTAACGTTTTTTAATGATTTCAGCTTTTTCAAAATTGTCATCTCTAGTTCTATACCCGAGCTCCGAACCCTTTTAAGTGGGGGTGAAAGCGACGCCTTCGTGTGAATTTATTCACCGTATGGGCCTAGCAAGTAACCTTTGGGATTCATATACCTTATGCCTTCGTGTGAATTTATTCTCCGTATGGGCATAAGGGAATGTGTCCTCTCGAGTTTAACTTAGTCCACACAAGCCTGTGATGGGTTTAGGACTAAGGGTCTGGCAAGCCCAAGGGGGCACCGACAAGGAGAACTCGAGTACCTTTTTTTAGAACCTAAACTGGGAGAGTACAGGGAATTAGAGCCCACCCCAAAACCTCATTTCAGACCCTAGGTTGCTTTGATTTTATTTCCTGCTTTACTTTCTGTTCAAAGCATGCGAACTAGACAAATATGCAGTTAAGATTTGTTTGAAATTAGCATGCGGGATAGATATCATGTCCGGGTAGGAAGTAAAGCATGTGGGGTAGATATCATGTGGGGTAGGATTTTTTGTTTTTTTTATTATTTTGATTTACCTCACTAACTCTTTTTATTTTTGTTCTCTTTTATTTTATTTTCATCATTTGCATCATTTAAACGAGGCATTGATTCACCAAAAATGTGCTTGTTAAATATGAATAATCTGCATTAATGGACAAAGGGGTTGTAATATAAGAGATGAAAATGCAGAAGACAATATACAAGGTGACTATGTGGTGCCCACAATTGAAGAGGATATTACTCTGGTGCATTATAAAGGACTCAGGATGAACCAGGTATATATCAAGCAATGAAAGTATATCTTTGAAGAACTATCTGTCAAAGGTTGCAAAGAAAAACAGGAAAATGTTACAGACCCGTACGCTCCTTTAAAAAACTACGAGAACAAGATGGCGAAACCCTAGCTGAGCTGAATGTCATGGCTCAAAAGGTGTTGCTGCTAGGGAACAGACTCGGCAGAGAGTGGAAGCTGGAGGTGCAGCCCTTCGAGACTCTTTTTTGGGGCAAACAACTCATCATCTGCATAAGTCGGAGCGGTTCGACAGGTTATCCAACCGGTGACAGACGAACGCAGAAGACTAGTCAACATGTCAGAAGTTGTCAGAATATTCTTGTCTCTTAAAAGATAAAATACTTTTGTCCCCAATAAGGATTATTTCTAATAACAAATACATTTTTGGATTAATGCCTCGATCATTTCATGCATCCTGCATTTAGACATTTTGCATTTTGTTATTTTCTTTGCATTTTGTTATTTTCTTTGCATTCACATTAACTAACATAAACATGTCTCATCAAAAGGAACAAATACTGGATACACCACCTCAAGCGTTGGACACACCCCATCCGCATAACACTCGTTTGAAGAAAAAGAGGATGGAAGCCAAAATTACACAAATCGAGGAGAATATGTTGAAACTACAGAAAGAGCTAGAAGACAAGATAAACCAGAACTGTCGAAATACTCTGGAAACAATCGCAAAGAACCAAGAGTCCTTGGTTGATCAGATCGTTGCCAAGTTAGTTGGCCTACAACAGACCAGTGCGCCTGGGACAGGTTCACCGGAAGGGGTAACTATACAACCTACCCCGCAAGTGGTTATCTCACCTGAAATCTTGCCAGAACTTCGAGGTGACTCATCTGCTGAAAGAGCGAAGCCCTCATCCTCTGTATTTAACCCTAAGAACAATCCGGGTTATTACCATATACCGGATTTGGACGAAGATGACAAAGCGAAGAAGATGGAAAAAAAATCAAACAATTGGAGAACCAAATGAAGGTAGTCAAAGGAGACCATGA